AGCGATTGCTAAGAGCAATAGCATGTACAAAATGTATATCTCAGAATTTTGATATCGATGACCTAAGGTCAGGTCAATTTTGCGACCTCCCCATTATAAGTCAATGGGAGAAAATTGAAATGCGCCTCTTTTGGACGAAAGACATTATAAACACTCCCAAACACCGAATTACAAGTGGTTTAGACACACTGAACATGAAAATGGTGTCCGTGACCCTTGTTTATGCCCTGGGGTCATCTTAGGTCACGAATGGTATCTAACAGTTTTTCGCAAATAACTTTTGATAGAGGCATGCTAAAGCGATGAAAACGCCTTAGATGTGTTCAGCTAGACGATACGGATCGACTGATATGCAACATGACCCTTTCCGGTCAGGTCATGACCTTGACCTGAGGTCAAATTTTCAAATTGACCTTTCAAGGTCAAGTTATAGTTCATTCGATGCGTCTTGACGAGAGGAACACAATGCTGGTAAAAGTAAGCTCGTACAATGCTTGGGTCAAAAGTTATTGCAGAAAAACTGTTTGCGAAAAAATCGGCTATTTTTGCAGTTTTTGCCCCCTGCAGGCAAAACCGTTGACGGTAGGTCAAATCTGAGAGAATTACTCAGAAAGGGCGTTAATAGGGCTATCGAATGCGCTTTTCCGCGGCGCTGTAGCTCTATTGGTTCCCGAGTTATGCGTTGGCTTCTTGGAAATTTTCGACATTCGACCTGGAAATCGGCGAAATTTTGCCTTCAATGACCTCTGGTGACCTGACCTTTGACCTGAGCAAAAAATTGACCGAAGTGATTTCGTCATTATTTTTTACGCTCTTTCGAACGCCGCCTTCCGCGTATCGCTACGTGGCCCAGGAGCCGAGTTACAAGGGGGGGTGTTCAAACACCCCCCCCAGCAGGGCGTGGAAATCCAGGACCCCCAGCTGGGCGCGGGTTAATTTTTCGAAAGTTGTGGAGCCGCCCCCGGTGTCCGGCCTGGCCAACTCTCTCAAGAACCGACAGCTAACGGAACACTGAAGTTTCACTACGACGATTTCCGCCTAAGTTATGAAGAAAAGGCAAGTGCAAGAAGTACAAAACTTCTCTTGGTAATCAAAACTTAGGTTTGGCAAATTCCAAACCCTAATTCACTACAACTGTGGATATAAATAAGCTGGTTATTGACGGCCAAGCTCTGGCCAATCTGAGGTTCAGACCTATCATCAAGTTCATGAGGCAGCTGCGGTTGGGTGGCTCACGGGCTCCATTGCATAGGCTCAGACAGGTACTCTACAAAATGTCTTCTGTGTTCTTAGGTTCATATCTATCGATAGGTATGTGCATGCTTCTGATTCGATTGATAACTGTAAACGGGCGCTGGAAGTGAAAGGTTCGCTTGATATACGAAAGGTGCATTGCAAGAAAGCACATTATTTCAGAAATACACTTTCATTTTATCTTGAGCGTTTTTGGAATGGGCCGGATGAATTCGTCATCAAACTGGTAAGGGATTTCGTTTGAAGACCACCGATATTTAATATTATGATGGTCGTCAAACGAATTTGCTGGCAAATTCGATGACTGGATTGGGCGGCGTAGGATCTGCTGGTCAACTGACTATGGGTTGATTAGGGCCTAGTTGGGCCCCTAGTTTTGACCTAGTTTGAGCTTCATTCGTTAAGTAGGAACAAGACGATGCTTCTTTTGACCATCGTCACTAAACAAGCCGCCCTCGTTTTGACATTGTTTTTCGTTATTATTGTAACTAGGTACTTTGTTATCATACACAGCATTAACGAGGACCTGCTTCCAAAACAAGGCAGAAACGCTCCAGATATTTTTGGGACGTGGTAAAAACTAACCGACACCTGGTAACTGTCATCTGACAAACACAAAACAAGCCAGGGGCTCGCAGCGTGTGTCAAAAGTAGGATGCAAAACTAGTCTGTACCCCCGACATTTAGCGTTGAGAATCATTTGACGAGGGGCTAGTCAATATTTTTTACAGTGTAGAGATTAAAGGTAGTGTGCCAGCTTTCTTGGACCGTATGGAGTTAATGGCCCAGATAAGGAGAACCGGATTTTTAGAACTTATCCATACCTTCAAAACTCATGGAAACGTCTTAAATTCTTCAAATTTTGAGTACCCCAGTGCGAAATTCGCCCCGACGGGTTGTCGGTCGTACCCCAACCACATTTCACACCACTATGAACAATAAATGCACACACTGAAATCGCTATTACCGAAATGCTCATCCAATCAAGTTTCGATAAACCCGTTCATCATCATCTCCTGCGGTTTCGAACACGCCTGTTAGGTGGCTTCTGATGCTCGTCGAGGTCGGAATTTCCAAATACGCGTGGTGCGTCGGGCCGCGCGCTCTGACTTCGGCCAAGAAAAATGCGTCAGCTGATCATTGTCATTTCTGCCACTTGCGTGTGGTGAAATGGGGTCATAACTTATAAGACGGCTTTTTCATATCAATTATTTTACATAAAATCATATTTCAAACCATAAATAATGTTCGACAGCCAAATAAAAGAAACAATACCAATACTTACAGTTTACAATACTTACAGCTTACAGTTTAAGGCTCGACATTGTGTTGTCTACGATTATACAGCTGATAACTCATTCCCGTACGTCGTATGGTCGTAACACTATAATGACCTTTGCTTATTGTCACAAGTGCGCCGCATTCGCGATTGTTGCCCGACGCCTGTTTGCAGGTGAGCCCACTACAGTTGTTATACATATCTGAAAACCGAAAAACTTTTAGGCGAAAAAGGCACTATTCCAGGCCCATTTTTGATTTTTTTGCGATATTAGGTAAAAACAGAAGCTTCTTATCCTAGGAAAAATAAAATGGGAAATCTTTCAAAGGTGGCACACTACCTTTAAGTATTACTAATTCTTACGCTGAATGTTTGAATACGTGCCGCACAGCACCATCGGATCCAAACGTGATTGAGGGGGGGGGGGGGGGCGGGGGCTCAATGACTGAAAGTTATTTTCCGGCTGTATAATTATGATGTCTCTTAGAAATCGCTCTTGAAGGGGGGGGGGCAATCGGTAAGTTGGTGGAAAGTTGCTGTTGACTAGGAAGAATAACGAATTGCCAAAGTTCGTGACACTCAGTAATCAAAACATCGTTTTTTTCTGGGGGGACAACCAGACCTCCTTGAAGTGGACAATTGAGGGGTATGTCCCTTATCAGTGATCGTAAAGTCTGGTGGCGTTTCTTCTGAGTAACTATTTACCCAACTCACTCACTTGCAACCGATGCAAATAAAACTCCCGATGGTAGACCCCTACAGAACCGCGGGGTCATCATGAAGCCTGTAAGATGTATCATCACACGAGCAGCTATGTCAGCGTGACGAATCTCTGCCTCGTCATTCCGTGACGCTCACAAACACCGAGTTTCGTGATGGATGGTATACTGCGTGAGCGGCGGCGTCCAAGGCCTCCCTCCCCTGCTCTGTCTGGCCCTCCCCCGCTCTCTCCGCGCTCAAGGTCAGACGAGGTCACACGGCGGTCGGGGGATGGAAATGCTGAGTCATTGTGGAGAGGCGCTCAAACACCTGTGGGGTGGAAATGATGGGAGCTGGATGCTGGAATGGACTGGACAATGGACATAGATGACTGGAGTGGACTGGGCTGGAATGGACTGGAACGGACTGGAATGGGATGGAATGGGAAATGGACATGGACGACTGAGCTAAACACAGCCAACTGTATTGGACAGTGACGAATGGAATGGACATTGACGACGTCACTCTAGATTGAGTGGCGGCTAGGTTCTTACGGATGGCAGTATGCTTGTTTAACAATGTTCCAATTAACTGTTAGGTAAATGAGCGGTTGGATCGAGTAGATAGCTGGAAAATCCCCTGTTCAAAGCCTGGATGACTGGATGGTTTAATTAGGGCCAGTTATCGAGACAGCTTAATTACCTAACTACCCAAAATTAACGGCTCATGTGATTTAATTAATTTTATCGATGAGCTGAGCCAGAAGCAACATTTTAACGTTGGAGCACAAGGTTACGTGAAATACCTGCTAGGAGCTTTTAGCTTCCTGATACGTTTTCTTGTCGATCTTTATCCAAAGTTGTCATTTTATTTATATAGTCTTATGTTATTTTATTCGCGCCTGATCTTATGATGTTTACACTAATTCTTGGATAAAACGCGGCTGCCAGTCAGGTCAAGGCCTTGTATTAGTGAAACGGCCAATTTCCTCTATCATTCACGATCATTTTTAGATCAAACCACTCCAAATACCCGTCCTCTGGGTACCGACATTCCACATTTACATCCCTAAATGCGTGGTGTATTAAACCAAACTGCCGGTCCCAAACGCTGGTGTCCGCATCTGTACACCGGATGTCGGCCTATATGATCCCTCCCCGGGGGCATAGAAAACACATGCCAGCGCCGCCCGCCGGCCGGCGGTCTGCGCCAAGAGGTCATTGGTCTCCTGTCTTCCCCTCCCTCCCCCTCCCCGCTCCCGACCGCGTCCCAGGGTCGCACGCCGCCCGCCGCGGGCCAGGACAGGACGGGACAGTTTCGTCCCGCTTGGCAGGCGGACAGTGGGGAAAGGAGCTACTTAGCACTAAATGGTGAACAAAGCAGCCGATGATTTGACAAGGGATGAAATTACAGGTTCCTTCTGGGGGGTGGGCGATTGAACGGATGATGATATGCTGAAGGTGGGGGAAGGGATGGAAACGTTTGAAGGAGGTGTCGAAATGTGAAACGGTTGTGTGGTGTAAATGTAATAAGACATCATACAAAGGGTTTTGAATGATGACGCTTAAAATCAGGTCAGTTTATTACCGATATCTATAAATCAAACATTAAGCGCAAATGACGTTCGCCCGTAATAAGGCTCTTTAAAAAAAAAAAAATCGTGCAAAAAGGGTGATAAGATGTTAACCGATAACACGGCTTTACAGAACCCCATACAGATGACAGGTTATAATATACACATTCCCAACTCAAGAATAAAAATACTCACTGGGCTTCTTCGCCGGCCACTCTTCAAAGCCGAACTTTTCCTGCTCGAAGGCCTGTCCTCCGGCAGCCAGGATCCAACGGATGGGCTCCCCACGGCCCTTGCCGTCAAAATACACCAGCTTCAGAGACGGCATCTTGGTGGTTGGACTGGAGAACAAAAAGAAAATGTCATACTTCAACAGTCAGATGGTTGACGAAACACATGAGCCCTGAAAGGAAAGAAAACGAACGGTTCATTACGTTGAAGTGGGTGAAGATTGATGCAAGATAGCGAGTTATCATTGGATCTAAAAAGCTGGGAATATTTTGTGAAGTGTTGAATTCATTCCTGAATATTGATACACTATACTGAAAGTAATTATTACTTCTGGTTAAACACTGCTCCAAATTACATTAATGAAACTCGTTAAGTTAGCCACTTGACATTGGTAAAATTGAATCGGCGCGACTGAAATCAGGACTTGTTTACAAGATTACCAGACCATGTAACACACATGCGGGTACAACACACATACTAGGAACAGACAACAGTGGTAGTTAGTACTTACAGGCACGCGCACACTATCTGAACTACACCGTAAATGGAGTGATAACACGACCTGTAACTGCTATCAAGCCGCCGGAATGACTGCGTGTGCCGATAGGCAGGTCAGAGCTCAGTGTTTATCTTTTATCGGTTGTATTTGTGCCGCCACACATGCTGCCATTCGAGTGTACCCATTACACATGTGATTGGGAAATCACATGTGTGCCCGGCAGCGGACCTGGCTGATAACTCAGTGGTGGGGAGGGGTGGGGAGGCAGGGGGCAGGGAGGGGAGGGGGTAGCAGATGGGGATGAGAGGGAGCTAGATCGAAACTGGTCGACAGCTCTGCAAACAAGCCCCAGCCAACGGGAGATTGAGTGTTGTTTGCATATGCTCATGACGAGGCTAGGGCTCAACTGGACGCTTTGACATGGTGATAGAGCCGAAACGGTGGCCATTGGAATGAAAGACAGTCTAAAGGGAAGCAAAGACGGTAAAGACAGACAGTGCACTAATGTTTACCAACTTGAGCGGGTATGGCCAAAAACAAACATCGTGCTCCGTGGGGGCTTTGTGCAAGCTAATCGTCTGTGGGAAACGGCCTGAATAATAATTATGTTCGCACTTTATAGCCCCGAGTTGAGCATGGTACTGCGTACACAAAATGAAATTAAAATTAAGCAATCAATTTCACACGAGGCACCCTAACTGGAACGTATGTAAAGCACACATGCTATTTGATTTTTCATCGAATGAGCTTAATGTTTAAGAAACATATCTTTTTAGAGACATCAAGTAATTACCCTTTGAACTATATTATAACATAGCTTGATTATGCTCGCTAATATTTCCAAGTTCATAGCACGGCATTTGCTCTCCCAGTAACTAGTAACTAGTAACAGTGACAAGTAACAGTAGCTGACTAAAGAAACAATAAAGCAACGTTAAGTAACAGTAGTAAAAGACATAAAACCGCGTTCATGAGGTTGTGATCATTATTCAAGTCAGACCGGTTTCGTTCCACAGTGAGAACATCTTCAGTGACAATATAAACAGATATGTAAGTTACATGTTTTGATGGGATGATTACCCTGACACAATATCGAAATTATTTGCACACACATATGCACACATGCAAAACTCAGTAAGTACACTTCTTCCAGGTGGAGAATTGTTCTACTTAATGATGACGACGCGCGACGGTGATACAAATGCACAGTGCACATGAGAGCAGTTGCACACCATTGGGTACACACATCATAGAGCTAAGCGGTGACATTGAGAGGATATGCCGATGAAATGTCGTTTATTTTTGGTCGCAACCGAAAGATGTATAGTGATTCTAAAATTCTTAAATCAGGGAACGAGCTGTTCGTACCCAGAATTTCAAAATTATCAATCGTAAACGGAGCGTCACATGATAACGCATGATCTCTAATGGACGAAACTGCTGGGGTTGATGACATCAGTCCGGTACGAGGAGATCTGCCTTGGTGTTGAGCCACTCTGGTGAATAAACGTTGATACGTGGAACCAACGTATGACGCCTGGCATGAGGCGCAACTAAATTTGTAAATGACACCAGAGCGACTCGGCTTGGGCAGTTTGTCCTTGTAACGGAACAATGTTCCAATCGTGAACTGGTTACGCAAAACTACTTTAGGGTTCAGATATGGATAATATTTCGTTAATAGGGACACGACTTCACGATGCATCTTAAGCGATTGATCACCATAGAAAGGTAATACAAAGTATTTTTCCAGCCTTTTAACTGTAGCTACGGTTGGGGCTGGACTGAACTGCTTCTGTAGGAAGTTCCGAACTGAAAAATCTACAAGTCGCTTTGGGAACCCATTATTGCAAAAGAATGACGTTAAAAACTTCACTTCTAAATCGAACAATCTGTAGGTTGAACTGATCCGAAAGGCACGAAATATGGCTGATTTCACAATTGCCCTCTTTATGAGCATTGGAATAGAGCTAAAGAAGCTAGTTCCAAGGCCAGTGAAAGTTTTCTTTCTGTAAACTGAGGTTTCAAAGCCACTAGCTGTTCGTTTTACATATACATCAAGAAAAGAGATCATGCTGTTAGTCTCCGTTTCTTTCGTAAATTTCATTCTTGGGTGCTGAATATTTAAGTAGTTGAGAAACTTGTCAACATGTGAATGATGCTCGAAAATCATAAAACAATCATCGACATATCTTCTAAAGTAGACGGGACGGTATTCTCGAGGACAGTTATCAAGCCAGTTCTTCTCATGATGACACAAGAATGCGTTAGCAAACGTAGGGCCTAACGGTAGACCCATTCCCACCCCATCAACCTGTTTGTATAACTTCTGGTCAAAGATAAAGTACGAATTTAGTACTGAAATCTCAAGCAAAGACCTAAAACAGTTCTTAGCTATCCCTGCTACCGTTGAGCAGTTCCGAAATAATGACTCTGTGCAGATATCTATGGTTTCTGTAACTGGTATGTTCGTGAATAAACTTTCAACGTCGAAACTAGCCATAAACATGCCCTCTTTAACCTCAAGTTGCTGAATGTCATTTACGAATTGGTAACTATTTTGCACAGTATACGCGTTCACGGTGAGGGGAGCCAAAATCGAAACCAAATATTTGGCAAGTTTAAACGTAGGCGTCCCACATGCTGAAAAAATGGGTCGCAATGGAACAAGCATCTTATGTACCTTAGGGAGCCCGTAGAGAACTCCTGGGACGGAGCCGGACGCGAATAAGTCGCTGTACAGTTCCTTCGAGATCATACCCAATTTCTTCATTTTACCCAACAACCTATTAACTTTATCTTCAACTTGTAACATGATTTTGTGTATGGAACCTGACTGAAGCGATGGCTTATCAACAGAGTCGCTTATCAAGCAAAATTTCGAGTCATCAGCTAAAACAGTGGACATCTTTTCAACGTACTCACTCCTATCGAGAATCACGACACCCCTACCTTTGTCCGGCTTGGTGACAACAATAGACGGATCGGTAGCCCACTCTCGAAGTGAGGCGACATCTTCTTTCGAGAAAATTGAAGAGAAGACTTTGGAAGACTTGAAGCCATGAAAGTGTTTATGACAAATATTTCGTATCTTGGTCTTGACATCTTGGAAGGTGAAACGTTGTGGAAGCGGTAGCTTGGATACGGACAGAACTAGCTTTTCGAAATGTAAAAAATAGTTATAGAAGTTCAACTTCCACACTGGTAGTTTGAACTCCAGGCCGAAGGCGAGGAGGAACTTGATTCTTCTCGGTACTGGTTTTGACGATAGATTAAAGATGACTTTTTCCGGGTCACAGGGCTGACAGTCACCATGAATTCCGATGCGCTGCAACTTCTGCAAGTGAACATTTGGGCAAGTTTGGTCTTTTACTAAAGTTTATTCTCCTTCTAAAACCATCAAAGGACAAACTACATAAGTAACAGTAAAGTAACGTATACAGTAGCGGTTAAGTAACAGTGACTAGTAAGTCGGCACTACGTTCTGCGCTGCTTCGCTCTATGACAAAAAACTCTCGCCCCAGACGAAATCTGTCCGCGTCGGTCTGTTTTTGCAGATGGTCAGGACTCAGGACAGACCGTTGGTGGTTTTTGTCGCGGTCTGCTCCCCACAACTGTCGCTGAAAGGACTAACAAGTGTGAAACGAAACCGGTACGTTTCCGTCCGACCGACAGCGCCTCTGATTGGTGAGTGATGGTTAGAGACATGGGTAAGACTCTTTTTTTTCTGAAAATGAAAACAAAAATAAAATATTTTGTTTTTGATACGGTACAAAAATGGTGATCAATGCTTACCTACCGTTGTGTCTAAATGAGTTGGTAAATTCACTAGCCATTATGTGGGCATTGATGTGGGCTTTGAGCTGAATATTATTTTTACTGTCAGTTTTCTTATTTCAAAGGTACGCACTACGCAATCTTTAAAATCTTACGCATCTGAAGAGAAGGAAATCCAGTATACAGGTATGTTTACCCCCCCCCCCCCATTGAGATGAGTCTGAATAGAGCAAAGGAAGTTATGTGGCTACTGGCTAAGGGCTAAAACATGGAGAAGCGACGAAAGGCTGTGTTCGTGTTCGTTTTCCTCGACTCTCATTTCCACGTTCAATACTGCCGATGGTTTTCTCTGCAGTTGTCATGGCAACGGCGTGTTCTTCAACATATTTAGCACATTAGGCCGCCTGCACCAGCTGTGATAAGTATAGGACTTAATTACCATGGCAACGGCTCAATAGGTGGAAATCTACAGCGACGTCGAGTGCAGCATTGCTGGGACAAATGTGTGAAGCTTATTATATTAATATTAATATCGATTGATATAATGTTTTCTTTCTTTTTCATTGTTTTTTTTCGCATTCTTTGTTGATTTCCTCATTTTTATTCATTCCATTCGTTTCCGCAACCTAGAAAAATGTCTAGAAATTTAAAAATCACATGCCTTCCCTTCTTCCCTGCAGAGATACGTTGTCTTTCTGTAAACCTGCTCAGTTTCGACGATTTCATGCTAACGACTAACGTAATACCTCAGAGGCAAACACCGTGGGGGAAAGGGAGGATGCTGGTCGGACCCCCCTCCCCCCAATGATCCATCACGCGTGTGACAATGAAGAGGAATTCGCCCGTCTCTCCCTTTAACCCGCCCCGAGGTCAGTCAACCCATGCGGAGAGGTCAACCCGACCCCAGTTCACCGGCGATGAATATTAACTCGGAGTTTTCTCAAGTGGCTCATGTTTGCAAGGCGTAGCAGAGGCGCTAGCAACAAGCCGGGACCAAATATGAGACTGAAAGGAGCGATCACCTGAGAAGATATGAGAAAATGGTTGTTGGTTTGTTCGGTCAGAGTGTGTAGCGCGTTCACTGGCGTACGGCTTCATTGATTACGAGCTTTTCCAGTGGTGACACGATTCTGATTTGAATCCGTATACGGTGCAATGCTACCGTACAAAAGGTAGTATTGCACATAACCTTTTCACTGTTTTATATGAATGTGTTTCTGCCAACTTATCAGTTTTGTTTTCGTTTATGTTTACAAACTCAGTCACCCGAAACTATTGCTGATTTGTACATCCATTTATTTACCAGATGAGATGCAGATGCTGACGGGCTTGTTGCTTTCTAAAATACTTACGCACAATGAGTAAAGTAAATTTTAATTGATTTTGAGGCTTATTAATAGCTAATTTCTACTGAGTAGGGGTCCCGCAAAGACAGCCTCTGATTAACCCGGCGGCCGCTGGGCCTCCGCGCCACCCGCCGGCCGCTGGGGGGGGGGCATAAAGTTGCCCCCCCTTTACTTCTGCGACGATATCGTCGCAACGCGAAGAGATAGAGAAGCGAAACTTTGCACACATCTTCCTGAATACCTAGCCGAGGTTGTGTCCAAATTTGGTGTCGATCCCATTTGAAATGACGTCACAGTGACGTCATAAGTGAAATTATAGATTTGCGACTCTCATATTCCTCACGATACATCACATATATGGGACCGAATATAAAGGGCCGATTATTGGTCAGAAACTAGATGGAAGTGTAGTAAGATGTTTTAGGATGACAGCAGGTGCTGTCTAGTTCATTTACAGTCGAGTTTCATGCTCAGCGTCATCAGAAACGGTCCATATCGGAAAACGACAAAACTTTATGACGTCACTGTGACGTCATCTTAGGTGCTACAACCACCAAACTTTCCTCAAACATTGCCTAGGTATTCATTTGAAGCTATTCCAAGTTTCACGTTCGTAGCTCATCAGGTTTCTGAGATATTTCACAAAACGTAAAGGGGGGGCAACTTTATGCCCCCCCCCAGCGGCTCGTGGGTTAAAAATGAGCCTCAACTAAAAGTGAAGTCGCCATTCAACATACTAATTTTATCGAACATCTTTACCTGTTTAACGACGTTAAAAACAATCTCCCATGTTTCCGACCCATATTTTTAACCCCCTCCCTCTCCTCTATCTCTCGGTCTCTCACCACATCCCGCCTTCTCACCACCACCTCTCTCACCCGCCCAGCTCACCTGGCTTCGACCGGAGCTGACGAGCGAGATGAGCACACACTACCCATGTGAGAGAACGACTGCGGTGGAGACCGACCCTCGGCGGCGGCGGCGGCGGCGGTGCCCGGGGCGGTTGGCATACCGCCGCCGCCGCCGCCGCCGCCGCCGCCGCAGCCGCCGCTGCTGCGTCGTCATGCGCCAGCGCGCGATGACGAGGCGGCCGTGTGAGCGGTGACGCCTCGAAAGTACCGACTGAGCATGATAAGGCAAAAATTGCGCGTGTAGGCGACCAGGATGCGTGGGGATTGCGCCATTGAATTTGAGGAGGGGAGGCAGGGAGTCCGTTTTCTTGTTAAGGTATGTGACTGGGTGCGCTTTCTTACATGTCTACCAGTGTCGGTAACGGTCAAATTATATATTTCAAATTGATTCAACTCTTTCGGCGGAAAGATATCCAGTGCCCCGCTGGGCTATTCAGCCATACGCGCCCTGCTGGGGGGGGGGGGGCAGATTCTGCCCCACCTGTCTAACTTCCGAACCGATATGGTCGTAGAAAGACGGGGAAAACGGCAATCGAAAGCTCTCAACAAGGCGGCAACAACAAGGCCCAACTCTTTTTGCTTAAGTAGGTCAGAGGTCAGGTCAAGGTCAGGTCAAGGGTACAAAATGCAAGTTTCTACAGTATCGGCCTTGCACCGTAGTTGCCGAAGAATGGAGTCATGGACTGAGACTGATTGCCCAAAACGTGTTCTTAGGCTACCAAGACAATATTCGTTGCATACAATATCATTCAAAGGCCAAGGTCAAGGTCAGGCCAGGTCAGGTCAGGTCACTAAAATCAAAATATAGAAAAGGGCATGTGCGACACATGTTCTATGGGTCATTTTATTCATAGAATTCAATTGGCACACTCAATAAGTGATATGGACCACCTCTGGATGAATTTCAGGTCGAGGTCAGGTCAGGTCAGGTCGAGTGAGTTCAAATTTTGAAGTTGGTTGTTAAGGTCTAAAAAGGTGTCTATCTGGTGTAGTTTTTCACGGCGAATCGAATAGTGCTATTTTATTTCCGTACAAGGTCTAGAACTTTCAATAAAATCATTGAAAAAAAAAATTGTTGTGACGTCATAAAATTTTGAATAACTCCCACATTTTTGAAACAATTCGTCTGAAAACTGGTATGTAGACCACTTCTCCGACATATATTCCGGTTTTTCGATGCACTCAAAATTTTGGATTTCATAATTATTTTCCCAAAAAAGTTAGTTTTTTTAAAGAAAAAATGGGCCAAAATCCAAAATTTTCAAAAAACGAGATACCCATTTGTGATTTGATAGACAAAGTAGAATCACGTATAACCTTTTTTTGTTACGTCTTGATTCCTTTAAAAAATGAAGATGTTAGCGACGTTTGAAATTTTGCCGTTTTTGAGGCGAAAATGGCGAACATGACCTCACTAAAACGTCATTTTCTAAAAAAAAAAAAAATCCGACGGACTTCGCTCAATTTTTCAGGGAACGTGTCAAATTGATGTATGGTAAGGTACTGAAAGTTTGACGTCGCTGGCGTAACGCGTTTAGAAGTTAATGGCGAAAAACGGGAGGGGGGGGGGCAGATTCTAACCTTCCCCCCCCAGCGGGGCGCGGGATATGTCATTAGAGTGAATGGATATGGGATCTCACTCCTTTGCCAGATCGATAGGCGTTATCACAAGTGTATTCGCGGCCATTGGGGCGACGTAAGAAAAGAAGAAAACAACTGGCCCCAAGAACTTTAAATTATCAAATAGCATGCACCTTTTCCTTGATATGTAGAGAATTTACCATTGATTGTTAGAGAAAATTGCATTTAAAATCTTCCATTTATGCTTTTTTCATCGTTTGCACAGTAGGTATGTTCTTTTACTAAGCTAGAAACACTATTTAGAAATAGTTCCCGCATCGTCAAGAACAATAAGGAAGGCTTGAAGTGAATACAATAATCTAAACGGTTTCGTAATCCATGTGAAGACACTTCTAAAATTGCCTGTAGAAATATTAACCCTATTCCTGGCGGGCTCCGCCGGGACAAGAAACTGGCGGGAGGGGGGCCGATTCGGCCCCCCCCCCTGAGATCTCGAGAACGAAGCAAGATAGCGACAAGCGGTAAACGGCATCGGATACGCATGGACAAGGTCTACAATTTTTACTAAGGTCATTTTCAGGTCAGGTCAAAGATGACGTCACAGGGGTCGAAAAAGTCAAAATGGCGGCGCTAGATATGGAGAGAGTTTTTCTCAAATAACTTTCGAATTAGTCAAGATAGCAACAGACTAAGGGCATCATCGTGATCCTCTCGTCAATCCGCATCGAATGATATATATGTTGACCTCGAAAGGTCAAGGTCAAAGGTTGACCTCAGGTCACGTGACCTCGAGGTCATCATGTATATCATTCGATGCGTCTTGACGAGCTGAACACAATGAGACCATCCACGCGTCTGTATCTTGTTCCTGTACGGAGTTATTGGCCAAAAACCTTTGGTGACCTTTGATGACGTCACATGACCTCACAGCTGCCCAACAGCAAAACAGACCTCAAGGTAGTGAAGGTTGATCGTATATGAAGTCATGTATGGTATATGGGGCCATTCCGACCCGTTTTAGTGGTAAAAACAGGGAGTTGATTTTTCCCCCATTGACTTATAATGGGGAGGTCGCGAAATTGACCTGACCTTAGGTCACCGATATCAAAATTCCGAGATATACAAATTGCACATACTGGTACCCTAACTAAAGCCTGAAGAGAAGAAATTGATCGGTCAAAAACTCTAGCTCTGGCGTGATTGCAAACTTTTCTGAGGTAGGGTCACCAAACCGCCTCTGGTAACCTGACCTGAGGTCAGATCAACTCAAAATTTTCAGACATGTTGCGTAGAAGCCTTATAGGAAAAGTCAGAAAATTTGAGCTTCCTAGCTCAACGCGTTTGGGAGAAATAACCAAAAAACCTCAGGGGGGGGGGGCTCCTGAGGCCCCCCCCCCCCCCGCCAGGAATAGGGTTAAAGGCAAAAGTTCAACTTTTTCACAAGACGGATGGCTATAAAGTATAAACCTATTCAACGTGTGACAACTCAGCCGGTATATCGTCGCCTACAGCCCAGCTTTCCCTAGTGACCGATAGAGGCGCTGCTATCGATGTCCGCCCGTGCCGCCTAACGTATGTGTTACGAGTATCGTATTTTCTCTATGGGACTGTCCGATTTGACAAAGTTGTGATCAATGGGGGGGGGGGGGGGGCGTAGGGTAGCTTTGTTTACTTGACGCTAAAACGACTGTATATAACAGCGAATTTGGGCATAAGCTCCTTTGCATTCCAAAATATCGATTTCGCTTCACTGGGCATTTGGGCAAATACGTCTGGAAAGACAATTGGTTCATGAAGTGGCTGGAATATTTTCCTAGTTAGTTAACGCATTCCATTGTGTTAGTTTTGTACGAAGCAACTGGCATTGGAAGCTGGTCTGAGAAAAGTCTGCTATTCTCTACCGTTAAATAGTAAAGAAGTTCGTTGCTTCAGCATCATAGCACATACTTTCGAGGTTCAAACAGTGATCCATAATTATAAATGAATTATTCAGTAATAGGTCCACACAGTAGGCACAGCATTTCTTTTCCATAACTGCAACGCACATTTAACATTTTCGTCAGGGAGAAACTTGGCCCGTACGGGCAGTTTACCGTCCCCATTCACGCCGGCATACCACGGGGCTCATCTTGAAAGCGCAAAGTTACGGTCAGGTGCGTGATGTATTGCAAAGTTACGGCTGGGTGCGTCACCTGCACGCTGCACCCATGGTGCCATAGTATGTACTCCATGGCAGATAATGCCCGAGTTGCCTCGCACTTTGACCCTTGTCCCTTGCTAGCTGATCACATGACGCATCACAGTACAGGAAATAACCCATAACGTCTTGATCCGATATGATAAAATGGGCATGAATTGTTATCACATCGTGGTTTACAGATACCGGGTCCACTAGGCTTGTTAAATGGGTAAGTCTGGGAGCTAGTGTCACTCCGGGTGCACGATTTCAGTCTTCACCGGTCACACAGTGCGGTGGGGCGGGATTTCGGCAATTGTGTGCGAAGAGTTGTCTTACCGAGGCAGTGAGGCGGAGTGTCTCACTGAGGCAGCAAGGCTGGGTGTCTCATCGAGGCAGCGAGTCGCGGTGCGTCCCTGATCTCACGGAGCCCACAAGAGCACCGCCGGTGTCCTTTCTTTTCTGCGCCGCGGCCGATCCTCAAATCGAAGAGACGATGGACTGCAACGGTATGTCACACCGGGATGGAGGAAGCCACCGCTCTCCACCCTGTGCCCGTACGGACGACCATAATACAACAAACAGTCCACAAGAAGATCGCCAAAAGTGGACAACAAAGGATAAACAAAAGGCTTCGGGGGAACCGGAAGATCCACCAAAGCTTGACCAGGAAAGAGAGCCGGCAGAGAGGGAACAGGAAGAAGAGTCCTCTGAAAGCAGACCGACAGAAGATACTGCTTCCGAAATGGACTCTGATGGAAAGCCTGATGGAAAGTCGCCTAGAAACACTTCTTGGAGTCGAGCACTGCCCTCAAGCTGCCGCCAGTCGTGAATTTCAAATGAACCGCGCCCTGCCGAACTCGCTTAAGCTAAAAACCGTAGGTTTAGGGATTCTACCGTATCCTACACATTATCAATGTACGATGCAGGCTGGTGAATGTTTGAATTTATCAGTCTCGCTGATAAATGCATCAATCTCGCTAATCAATATAGCAATCGCGCTGATGAATGTATCGCAATTAAGTCCACGTTATTAGGGATCTTTGTACTATTCACTTGGTTTTTCTGATTGACTTGATTGAACTGATCGGTAGAAGACGAAAATGATGCCTACTCGGGATGTGAAACAAGTCGGTATAATAATGTTGGACTGCAATGCTTCTGGTGATTGCTGAATAATTAATCGTTGTAATATGGCAAATGCTCGCGCTCGCGTATGTACATGTTCATGCTCGCGCGAATGTAGGTACATGCACGCGCGAAATGTATAGTCGACTACAGAATGATGTTCCACTTTTCACAGGCAATTATGTGCCTGGAGTGATAGGCTGTGCCGCATCGCATCACCCGGGCTGAGTTCACAAATTATAGCTTTGCCCCAATGCTCACAATCGACACGCTCAATTGCGTGATAAACGGCACAACTTAGCGCTCCGGTCAACTGATAGCTTCTGAGGAGTGGAACATCATTCTGTAGTCGACTATACATGCACGCGAAATGGGTACTTCTCCCTGCTACCCTCTATCCCCACCGACAGAGAAGTTTACTGCCCCAGCTTTATCTGCCCGTACCTATTGCAGATCTCTAAAACGGTGCATATGCGTCAAAATGATCTCGCAATCAACAGCATCTACTTCTTCTACAGGTGATACTGATGCCTTTTGGGTGCTGTGTGGAATGCTAATCCTGCAATTGTTATGGAATCACAAAATACATTATTACGATACCCTCTATCTGCAAACCGGACAAATATGCTTTCGGTTGTTTATGTCGGCGAACCTTATTCTCGACATATCCGTGCGATTTCAACATATAATCACATTGTTACACTATGAAAACATTACCGGAGACGAAATAATCATTTTGAAGAATAGCGTGGCATTTGTTACCTATGCATTACAAATTACAATGCACATTACCTTACACATTTTATGGGCACCGATGAACTCTGAAGTCCGGTCGCCCTATAATCACAAATCATTAATTACATTACACGTACCATACAACGATGATAATTCAGCTTAGCGCGAAATATTCTTGATCGAATCGGTGCTGCTCAGTGGCCCTTCCCTAAACCGAAAACATAATGCAGCAAGTAATGTGCTAAATATTTGCGTTCCGCTGTGTTTCAGGTCCGGTCGTATCAACCTCGTCCGCGGTCCGGCTGCCGGCTGGTTCTACGCTGTGGTTCCTCGAGGAAGACACCAACGCAAAACCGACAGTTTATCCGGTGTTCCGCAGGCTTCTGCGTCAAACTGAGCTAGCAAGGCTGGCTACATGGGCAGAGCGGCAGCTCACAGGTTTGGCTGTCTAGTGGGTATACCGACATAGAAGATAGGTAACCACTTAAACTGCTGTTCTTTAGGTATAATCCGTCGAGCCTTATTCAAACTTTCCTAAAGCTGATGGCTGTCTCTGCTATGTTGAAGCTCGTGCTTTCAGTTTCATGCCGTAACTCGTAAGGCCACTAATTTCGTTATGTGTACATAGTGCCGTACAAACGGTTTCAGATTAGGATCTATTCTTAGGGGAAAAACGACCATTCGCTTATGCGCACTATTCCCTTTTAATTGCTATCTTATCGTTTTACCATTATTGCCTTCTAATTTCTCATATGGCGGCCAGAAGTCCCTTAATTAAATCCGACACTGGCAGCCCCAGATTCTAGGATGACGAGGCCAGGGTCATCTCATTCCGGCTTCAACACTGCCCGCTACACTGTCGGTGTCGTTAGTCGCGTTTGCATAGCATTTTTGACGAGGGGCTCTAGCTCGTTTATTTGGCAATAATTTCGATGTAGCAGTCTTCAACTATTTAGAGGGGATCATTTTGTAAATTGTTAGCACCATTGGCATCTTTTGCAACATCACGGACTAAGATATAAGCTTGCAACAAACCCTATGTAAACGCGTCTGTTGACAGGTCATTGGGATACTTTGCACCTATCAGTATCTATGGAGAGTCACCGCCTCAGCTGAATGCATTGCGTGCAGCCTGCTGTGCAGGAAACGAGCAATGCTTGACGACTCCCACTTCCTCTGTTTTTCCCATAGAGCAACCTACAGAACGAGGCGGAGCGCTCGCCGCTGCAGATGGCGCCACCGGGGCTGGCGAGCGACCTCAAGCAGCTGGCGCCGCCCTCGGTGGAGCTCACCGCTGGCACAGATGGCAGCACCGTCGACTGGTCACCGGCGTCGGTGTTTCTCGAGCCGCTGAACCGCCCGGCCTGCACTGTCTATCACATTCACGCCCATCTATCATAAGTTATTAGTGCCCTCGGCGGAGCCCACCGGTAACATAGATGGCAGCACCATCGCTAGAAGACCTCGACGGGCGTGGCGGTCCTTGTGAAATGTGAACTATATAATATAGTGTAGTGAGCATCACGAGCGTGCTACTTACCAGCATACTGCCCGACTCACTTCTCTACCAGCTCAGTACCCAGTACTACTGTCTGTCAGTTCCGAGGATTAATAAGAACTCGGAGCTTTGACGTGATCGCCGTTTTTGTCACAAATCTGATGTCGTGAAGATGATTGGCGATACTTGATGATGCTGTGCCGATCTCAAGCGATATTGTATTGTCGTTCACTATTCCCTTTTAGCTCGAGGGAGAGGATATTGAGTTGAAATGGTGGGTATGACATGAGGCAAGGGCCTCATATATACTGTAAAGTGAATTCATAGGCATCGAAGGATGCGCAGCGCAGTTGTTCGCTTATTTGATCCCAGTTTGTGTCACTGGCAGTGCATTTCGAGCATATGACGCGATGCATCATGTGCTACGCGATAAGGGCATGTTCGATATTGCTATCTGCCGAGTTTGTTATCAGTCCGTACTCTAAGCGTGTTGTTATGTTGGTTGTGTGAATGTGGCATGAATATGGTTTCGGGGCACGCGCTGATATGTCCAGTCAGTTCCCGAGAACAGATTCAGTGAGCGCTGACCGCAACTAGATACTCGTAGCGCAGGCATCGAAGTCGTCTGTCTCATCTCATCACCTGTCGCTGTCATATAGAAACCGTCGTGCTCGGTGTCATCTCATCATTTGTCGCCATTTTGTCGCTCTCTGTTGTTGGAAACAGTGCCCTGGATGCTGGTATGAAAGTTTTTAGCGAATATAATGGCCAATAAAACGCACATGAGCCAAATGTCTCGATGGAGTTTGCTGAATTGGGCCTTCCGCCGAGGTAGAAATGCCGGGGAACACTGAAAACAGCGATATAAAGATGGCAGTTAGTCGAAGAATAGAGGTCTCTGGGACTCGCAGGACCAGACTAGATGGCAGCACAGAAGGCTAAACGGCTGAAAACACGCTCCAGAAACCCAGAGCTTCGTCCATAAGCCGCACCAAACCATGTATCGATGCCGCTATAATACGGTCTAATTGTAATGCGCTTGAAAGTGGGCGGAGCCTAAATAGCCCTCAAACTGAGATCGGTATAAGGCACTTCCAGGCCCCCAACGGGTTTACCCTGGTGGCCGAGTGGATAGCGTGACGTCAGCATGCATTTTAGACTTTTGAAGGTTTGGGGTTCGAGACCCGTTTATGACGGAAAAATTTATCGTAAGTATGGGTGTTTCCGGGTCTCGAACCCAAAACCTCCGAAAGTCTAAAATGCATGCTGACGTCACGCTAACCACTCGGCCACCAGGGCAAACCCGTTGGGGTACCTGTGAGCGCATTATAACGATCTCAGTTTTAGGGCCAATTTGGCTCCACCCACTTCTTCCCCATCCCCACGCCTTCTTTGGTGACGTAGGGACGCATCGCCGGGAATAAAGTCGCGTTTCATTGGTCGTTTGAAAACTGATCACTGTCCCTGAGCAGCTTTTCGTCTCGTATCAGTCTCGTATTCTCCTTGCTCTTTGTCGAAGGTAATTCTCACGCGACACGCAGCCCACCTCCCTCCGATCCATCTCTAAAAGAGGCATTAGAACTTCACGCGTTTATTGAGACAGTAGTCAACAAACACAAATATCAAATGGTTTCTCTAGCAAGGGGGAGGGGGTGTCGCTGCATAGACTGAACATTCTCGAAGTCGGGGGGGGGGGGGCGCCTCGGGCAAGGTCAGACAAGGTCAGTGCTGCCCCGCCGGGTGGCGGACGGGGCGGCGCCGGCGGCAGTCGGCCCCTGGCAGCTAGACCGGCCCGCCGAGCCGATTGACCCCGGCGATGACCTCTGATGGCCGCGGGCGGTGACAGCCGCCGATCTGGGCCGTCTGGGAGCGAGTGGAGACCGGAAAGGGGTGGGGAAGCTAAGGGGAGGGGAGGAACAGGACAGGGAGGGGGAGGGTGCCACGGATTGAGGAAACGACTACAGGGAAGACTGGCCCCGCACGCAGGGAGCGACCTTACGCTTACGTAGCGGTTACACAACAGTGCAAAGGATTGAAGAGACATCGGAAAAAGTGAGACAATACACACTGAGCGGACAATATGATAGGGCACTTATAAAGTTTTCTTTTCATTTCTTACAAAATTATACAAATAATGATGATACAGAGCAGTGGACAGTTTTGATAAATATCTATAAAAAAACAACAGCCCCACAACCTCATACTACCAACCTAAGCGACATGGAAAAATACATAAGATCATTACAATACAGAGCATTGCTTCTAAAGTCGACCCGACATCAGTCTCATCGCTAATCCAACCAAGATAATAGGACGGATATCAATTCAAATTCATTCGTTGTCTCAAAATGCTAAAGACGAGCACTACGGCCGGTTTCAGTACACCAGCCTGACATTTTATCCACAAACACCGCAATATTCTAGCTTCTTAATGTTCTAGACAAGTCTCTGGTCCTAAATAACTGCCCAAATATGGCTTCGTCGAGCAAGTCACCGAACATTGTACATGGTTCACATTTGGAGAAGTCAATGTTCTAGAAAATAAATAGCGCATAATGGAGCGTAAAACATCGAGGCGTTTAAAGAACTCGTTGATACAGCCATCACAGCGAAAAGCGAGCAAACGAATAGATTACATACGAGCAAATCCAGGATGCAAGACAGAGAAAGGACAATTATGAACAGAAAATATGTCGAAAGGCAATAACTCCTTCATTCTTCTGCCTCATCGCTTATTAAGTTGTTGCGGTAATTACTGGGCTAATAATTGATGTAATGCAGATAATTCATCATCAAAAGCTAGACGCACACATTTGCTTTCTGCACCTCTCGTTCTCTATTAATTTCTGCACATCTTTAAATTTATAAGTCGCCCTTCATTCACTGCAGCCGCATCTCTTACCGGAATTCATCGCAATCTTAAATCTACATAGGTGGTATTCAGGGTTCTGCGACACCTGAGCGAGCGTCGTTTCAGCGAATGACATTTGAGCGAAGCCTTTTCAGCGATTATCAATTTAAGCGATTGACTTTTTCAGCGATTGTCAAGTCGGCGAATTCAATCACAGCGATTATCAAGATAAGCGAGGACCAGAATCAGCGAAACCAGATTGAGCGAATATATGGAGGTCAATGGGGACCAATTGAGCGAACACAGTTACAGCGAAACCGAACGCGACGGAAGTCAATCATTTGCTACTTTGCGGGAATTCTTGCCCTTGGAATACCCGCTTGGTATGCGTCATGCTTCAAGCTGCGCGCGGCCTTTTCTTCTAAGCTTGGAAACCACAACAATATCTGGCCTCATTCTGCAACTTTGATCTGGAAATGTGGAACGTGAGAGATAGGACGATGGAAGGAATGCCAAGGACCAATAATAAACTCGAGGGATGGCACAGGGGGATCCAGTCTTTGTTTCAGGGCCCTCACCCAAATATCTGGAAATTCGTACGGTGCTTGGGGCAAGAACAAATTTTACAACATGGGGAACTGATCCAAATTCAAGCGGGGGAATTTCGCGAAAAACAGCACAAGCAATATGAATCTCTGAACAAATGTTTGGTCATCATTATTGGCAAACAGCAGGTGTGTGTGTGTGTGTGGGGGGGGGGGGGGGGGAAATCGAGCCGCTGTAATTTTTTAGAAATGTGGCATCAAATTGGAGCTTAATGTCTGAACTTTGAACGTGACATCCGGCATCCAGTTCCGAATAACCATGAAAAGTTCCGGAAACATTCGTTGTACGAACGCTCACAAAAGAAAAAAAAATACACCGTTACGGGACGATGAAGTGTTTCGCTGAAATGACAGTCGCTCAAACTGTAGTCGACGAAAAAGATGTCGCTGAAACATAGCTTTCGCTTAAATTGATAATCGCTATATTTGATAATCGCTCAGTTTGATATTCGCTAAGTTGCCAGTCGCTGAAAATGGTTCGCTCGAATGACGTTCGCTCAAATGACACTCGCTAAAGTCGCTCGCACCGGGTATTCAGTGCATGCTCAACGATTGGTATTCATTGCATGCCCTCCAAACGGCAGTACTCCCAAAGTACTTGGTACGGCAGGCATTCATTGCAATGCCGATACACTTCCAGTCTCCAATCACAACGGGGTCACTATAGCCGGGATTCACTGCATCCCTTCTCATGCCGGTATTCACTGCAGGCCGCCCGCCGCGCCGGTATTCTCTGCAAGCTTGCCTCCGACCGGAATTCAGTATAGTTCTGACACCACCTCTGGCTCGGATTCACTGCAGACCCTGCTTCCTGCCGGTATTCACTGCAGCTCGGACACCACCTCTGGCCAGGATTCACTGCAGACCCTCCTCCCGCCGGTATTCACTACAGCTGCTCACACACCAGCTCTGGCCAGGATTCGCTGCAGACCCTCCTCCCGCCGGTATTCACTGCAGCTCGGACACCAGCTCAGGCCGGCCGTCTCTACCGACACTCAGCCGTCGATGGCGACTATCTGCGCCGGACTGCTGGGCGGCCGTCGGCGGCGGCGGAGGTACCCCCGGTAGTCGCTCTCGTGCCGGTACCACACCAGGGATTGTAGGTCCGAGAGGCAGAGTCGGAGAGGAGTACCGTCCCAGGGTCGCGTAATCGGCTGAAACGGGCAGACAGGTCCGAGTTAGACGGGAGTGAGTGAGTGAGTGAGAGAGAGGGAGAGGGAGAGGGAGAGGGAGAGGGAGAGGGAGAGGGAGAGGGAGAGGGAGAGGGAGAGGGAGAGGGAGAGGGAGAGGGAGAGGGAGAGGGAGAGGGAGAGGGAGAGGGAGAGGGAGAGGGAGAGGGAGAGGGAGAGGGAGAGGGAGAGGGAGAGGGAGAGGGAGAGGGAGAGGGAGAGGGAGAGGGAGAGGGAGAGAGAGAGAGAGAGAGAGAGAGAGAGAGAGAGAGAGAGGAGAGAGAGAGAGAGAGAGAGGAGAGAGAGAGAGAGAGAGAGAGAGAGAGAGAGAGAGAGAGAGAGAGAGAGAGAGAGAGCAGTGACAGCGGGAGCGATTTGCATTGAGTTTGAGTTTCGTACGGCTTGTCAATTAGGACTGGTGTCTCACAAGTTCTGTAAGCAGACATCATCCACGGTAACCATGCTGGCACATAGCTACCAAAAGTCTGCTGCTCTAACACTTCACAAACTGCTACAGCAACAAAACAAATAACCTGCTTCTTTTAAAAACGAGTTCCATGTAACTTTGAACACCTCACCATATTGTCGCTAAAGCTCTTGAAAGCAGGTTCATACGTTCAACAGCCCTCCCGTTACCTGTGTCTCCGTTATGACTATGTTGCCTGCCTCTCCGTTGGGACTATATTTCCAGAGTCTGTTGGGAATATGTTATCTGCACTCTGTTAGGGCCATGCTTCGTTACCTGTGTCTCCGTTGGGACTATGGTCCTTTACCTGCCTCTCCGTTGGGACTATGTTTCCCGTGTCTGTTGGGACTATGCGCTGTTACCTGTATCTTCGTTGGGACTATGTTTACAGTATCTGTTCGGGACTATACGCTGTACCTGTGTGTACCTGTAACTATACCTGTAACACGGGCGGGATACCTGGTACAATGACATGCTTGTGACCCCCACGGTCAGGTCAGAGTCCGGACGTCGCCGTTTTCTGTACTCTGCGGTGTCAGGGTACAACGAGCTGCCGGCGGACCTGCGCGCTCTTAGTCAGGCTCGATTCAAGCCGGCACTGAGGGAGCATTTGTTTGACCGCGAGCGAGCCACTTAGCTGTCCTAGTTAGCACACGTGATGAGGGTGAATGTGTGAATGATTGCGGTGACTGTTGTCATATCCCATTCGATTTGTATATGCACAACGACTTGGACATAGAATAGCCGTGTTTCCACGGACATGTCTGTAATGTGAAATAAATAAATAAATAAATAAATAAATATACGTGTTACCTGTGTCTCCGTTGGGACTATGCGCTGTTACCTGTATCTCCGTTGGGACTATGCGCTGTTACCTGTATCTCCGTTGGGACTATGGCTGTTACCTGTATCTCCGTTGGGACTATGCGCTGTTACCGGTATCTCCGTTGGGACTATGTTCCGTTACCTGTATCTCCGTTGGGACTATGCGCTGTTACCTGTATCTCCGTTGGGACTATACGCTGTTACCTGTATCTCCGTTGGGACTATGTTTACAGTATCTGTTCGGGACTATATTCCGTTACCTGTATCTCCGTTGGGACTATGCGCTGTTACCTGTATCTCCGTTGGGACTATGCGCTGTTACCGGTATCTCCGTTGGGACTATGTTCCGTTACCTGTATCTCCGTTGGGACTATGCGCTGTTACCTGTATCTCCGTTGGGACTATGCGCTGTTACCTGTATCTCCGTTGGGACTATACGCTGTTACCTGTATCTCCGTTGGGACTATGTTTACGTTCGGGACTATATTCCGTTACCTGTATCTCCGTCGGACTATGTTCCATTACCTATATCTCCTTTGGGACTATGCGCTGTTACCTGTATCTCCGTTGGGACTATACGCTGTTACCTGTATCTACGTTGGGACTATGCGCTGTTACCTGTATCTCCGTTGGGACTATATTCCGCTAACTGTATCTCCGTTGGGACAATATTCCCTTACCTGTATCTCCGTTGGGACTATGTTCGGCCGGCTCGCCGGGCCGCTGGATGGTGGCGTAGGTATTCTGACCCTCCTCCTGAGGAGAGGGACTGTCCTCCACTCCTCCGGCCGCCTCAGGATCACCGGACACTTGCATGCTCAGCTCCTGCTCCTCGTACATCTGAAGGAGACGGAGACACGGGCCAAAGGAAGAGGTTAGAAGACATGTGTCGGCACAGATTTGTGACATGAAGGCCACAAATTGCTCAGATGACTTACGCTAGTTGTGCCTCACCTGTGACTGATAATATTTAATACTACCGCAATCAAACATTAACCATTTATAATTATTCACCTGAGTAATTATCACACGTGAATATTGTAAAATTGCATAACACTCATTCGTGTGAATCACGGTCGCTGAATATATTTCTGTAAGCATAATTATTCATCCACCAGACAGTCTTGATCCTACTCTCTTCGAGGCCTAGCTATCTTCATACTGTAAATCAAACGGTACAAATAATCACAGTCCTGAGCTCCGTTACTTTGAGTTTGTTTCCGATCCAGAGAGGGTTCTCGGTGCCAGGCGGTGTTTCGGGCTGATCCACAGAGGCCCGCGGAGTGGGCGGCTGCGGCGGCTGCTTCACCTGGCGACAGACGGCAGGCGAGGTCAGGGGCACAGTAGAACAGAGGTAGAGGAGCGCGGATGATGATATCAGACTGAATACGATGAATAACAAGATAAATATTGTCTTGACGGATCTGCATATCTAATACGCATCACCTCTATGGACCCGATAATCATTAAAATAAAACGATAATTTGGTGCTCAGTTGCAATCAAATATCGCATTACGTTGCTCAAATATTAGTCAGCATAACAAGAACAGGCCCAAATCTTCACAAACTTGATCTTGTTCTCACCAACAAACTCGACATTTGACCTCCAAATTTACCAGACGCCACCACCACCTCACCTGCTCCTTGTAGGAGGGCACGGCGACCGGCACGGTTTTTAGACAGCAGCAGACGGCGCAGAATGTCACCAGGCCGATCACCAGCACCAGCAGTAGTGCCACCAGCGTCACCAGCGTCTGATTCGTCTCGTGAGAGGTGGGCGCCGCGTCAGCCGCCTGACGAGAGAGACGTGCGCGCGTCAGAGGGGTTCAACTGGACTTTACTTGTCACTATTCTCGGCTTAGCAGGTTAAGGTAATCGACTGGGCTTTACTTGTCCCTAATTCTGGGTTAAGCAGGCTAAAGCAATCGACCCCAGGGAAACGGACATCAACGGAGATTCAGACAGAACAATAAGATAACCAGTAATGTATTGGACATCATCAAACGTAGTTAAGTTACCCTACATCCCACAATTACCGCATATTCCTCTCTGGCTTACGAAGTTCAATGCCAGCTGCCGTCGTAAAAACCCGCTTCAAGTCTCAATCCTTTCATGAGTCCCATCTGTGTGTACCTCTTTATGTGTCTATCTCCCTCCCTCCCCTCCCTGCCTTCCCCTCTATTCCTCCTTCCTCTCTCCTCCCACTTCTCACCTGCACTTTCTGTACGTTGAGCGCGCCATGCTCCCTCTGAATGTAGTCGTAGTGGAGGTCGAACGCTCGCAGCACCTCGCCAGTGGGTACAATCTGCTGCCGGCCGTCCGCCACGTGGAGGTACATGTCTGACCTGGAAATACACACATACAGAACACGTCAGGATTCGATCTGCGAATTATGAGAGACACGTCAGAGGGTATTATCTCCCACCTGGGAATACATGAAGGGACTCGTCAGGTGATCTCGTCAGGTCATGTGTGACCTGGGAATACACAAGGCACATCAGGGATATATCATACCTGGCAATAGATAGGGGAGGAATGTCTGCAACATATTCCACCTGTAAAGATATGGCAGTCACGTCCCCATACATTCCGGACATTGGGGATATATGACGGGGGGGGGGGGGGGGGAGCGTCCGGCAAACACATACCTATCACCTAAAACAAAACACAATAAACTAATGCATTTTTTCATAAGTATTCACAACTTATGTATACAGGGTGTGGCAGAAAGATTTACCTCTTGATTTAAAAAAAAAAATATTTCGGTCCCGAACAAAGATATTCAATTTATTTTTGGTACACGTATTCAGTAGCATGTCACATCTCAGCAACGGGACTATGAACCAATATGGCCACCTTTGGTCTTCACCCCTGTCCCGAAACCTCTCCCTGCGGAGAGGCGCGGGCGCCGCACGGTGTCCTCGTCGAAATTCGACCATGCCGTCTCGAGGGCCAGCTTCAGAGCGGCCATGCTGCTGTGTGGTGTTGCACACATCTCCCTCTCCAGGATGGCCCAGAAGGTGAAGTCCATCGGGCTCAGGCCCGGACTTGACGGTGGCCACATGTCCTTGTCCCAGAACCCAGGCATGTGGGTCTTCCACCATGCACTGTTGAATGAAGTTCGCCGTCTGAGACGACGCAATGTCCTGGACGACGACGTATCCGTCTCGGAACGACTGAGCGATCCAAGGCAGAGCATGTTCCTCTAGCAGATGGACATAAACGTGTAAGTTGACTTTCACACCCGCCTCGATGAAGATCAAGGGTTCTTTTGAGCCCTCGGATGCGACGGCAGCTCGAACCATGAAACCAGCAGGGTTGTGGCGACCAAAACTGGTCCGGATAACAGGATCAAACTGGATGTACCATCTACCGTTTATGATCCTCCTGATCGTTCTGGGCGAAAAATCGAGGTCCTTTGCCAGTTTGCGCATGCTTCGCCAAGGATTTCAAGACACCGTCTTGTGCAGTGTGCACGATGTTATCCAGCTTTTTGGTGCGGACATGCCTTGTTCTGTCTGATATGGACTTCTTCGACACTGTACCTGTCTCTTTAAGGCATTTCATTATATTGTTAACAGTTTTTATGGCTACACCGAGCTGTTTGGGAACGCTTTGGAAGCTGTGGCCAGCCTGCATCGGCGCCGCAATTTGGGCTCTTTTTGTAATCTCCACCATAGCTCATCAACAACAATGACGAAAATAAAAGCGATCCATGACAATTATACACGAGCCAGATGGGGAGCCCCATGCACAATTTTACTAAAATATTTCCAAAACTTTTTGATTTATGGCCTGAAAACAAACAGGTAAATTTTTGTGCCCCACCCTGTAAGTAAGGCAGTAAGTACCAATCTATCATAGGCAAATACAAATGTCAATTGCTTAGCGGTGTTTGACCTCCCTGTCGCAAATATAGGGCTCATTTGAACTAAAGAGAAGTGCTCTCACCCATCACCATGCCGCCCAGCCATTGCGGATTTATAAGCGGATTTGTAAGCGGGACAACTTAGACGACCCTTATTTGGCACGTGGCTCGTGCCGTGATCGTCGCCAGTTGCATAACGAGGGCGCGGGAAATAACTTTAGAAGAGATGGGGCGAGCAGAGAGAGAAGACCACTAATAAACCGTTTAACGGCTTTTGATGTAAGCCATTCAAAGCTAGACCATGGCCCCCCTCACGCTCAAATCAAAATACCTTTTACCATATGGGAAAAAAACTAGCTATCCCGCTGCTCGTACTCATCTTTCTGATAAACCATAACTTCATGTATTTATTGCTAACATTTCAGCAACGTCCATTTGCATAAATGGCTCATGTGATGGGAGATGACATGATCAATAAGTACACTGTACACTGTACATAGATGGCGAGGCCCGACCATGTTCCAACTAAGACAACACCGACACGGACTGAACTAGTCGAAATTCTACATAATCAAAAAAGTAGCCCAGCCACGCCACATGTCCAATATTGTTCAATATTGCCCTCGCCCCCCCCCCCCCACTGACACAGTAGCGCCAGCCTATCAGCAGCAGATATCCAGAGCCTATGATCGCACTGCGCTGCGTCAAAACCCCATTGGTCGAAACCAGACCTCTCAAAACAGTCTAGGGGGTCAAGTGGGGCAGCACGGACGAGAGAACGGCAAAATCAGCACTCCATAACAATAACACTCAGCTGACTATCTGCACTAAGAATAGACCGGCCTAACAATGGGCGGGCCTGAATGGCAGGCAGACGGCCGCCGCCTGGGAACCTCCCCAGTCACACAGTTCCACGGAACACGCTTGGCCTCAGCCTCCACGAGTCCGGCATCACGTTCCTCAGGCGGTTGTGTTCGGTGCGAACCGCAGGATCTTCACAGAGCTGACTGAAGAGGTGCATGTAGCACTGGTGCCTTCGCTGTGCCAGCTCACTATCCACACCTAACTGGGTGTGAAAACGGTCGCTGGTGTTGAAGAACGAGTCCAGGGCGTCTTGTTGATGCTTCTTCTTCGCATCTTCAAATGACTGACGAAAAATCTCCGAATGCGAAACCCCCATTTCCTCCAACGCATCCATGTGCTGACGATAGTTGGGCACACTTGCTTTGAGGACCGACACCAGCAGAGGGGTGTTGAGCAGCAGGTCACAGCGGTCACGTGGTGACCTCAGGTCAGCAGGCTGACCTCGGGCTGTGTCTCGGGCTGGTCCTTGAGCCAGGCCCGCACTGCGGCAGGGTCCCAGAGCAGATGTTTCAGGTCGTCTTCAGTGAGTAGTGCCAGCAGTGGCGCGGCGTCCCACTCGAAAATACCGCTCTCGTTCTCTGTCAGTCGCACCTGTTCGACTACCTCTTCCGGTGCGATCATCAGCGCATGGAGGAGGAATTTTCTCATGTGCCACCCGAAGGTGTACCTTCGGAACATACAACACACTTCTGCTGGGAGTGATGACACTGCAGCGAACTTGATTTGTGCATCAAGCCCACCAGCCTTCGCAAAACAGAAGCAAAAAGCTGTGTTCAGAAACACACCGTGAGTGATCATGCGGCGCATGAGAACTATACGAGCTTCTTGCTCTTGAAGTCTAGGCTGGGGCTGCTGCAGCAGCAACTGTGATAAATCCCAGTTGCTCTGGATCAACAGAGTCTTCATATGATCCCGGATGTGTCTGACCGTCTTCAGGGATGCCTTTCTTTCGGCCCTGTTCATCAGCTCCATGATGTTGATGTCCTTCCAGTAGAAGCACTTGAGCTCCTTAGTCTGGTAGGCTTTCTCCAGGTAGTCGAGGACTTGAAGGATGCCTTGAGAGACACTGCTCCAGCGCGGATGGCCTGCCTCTGCCTGACATAGCCAAAAGACAGCTGTCTTTAAGTGATAAGACTTGAGCATCTTACCCGGCAGGTTCGCACACTTTTTGCATGCCTTCATGGTCTTGATCACACTCCTTGGTATCTGGTCGAGGTACAGCACAGTGATCACTTCAGCCCGGGAGAAGGACCAGCGCCATTCGAGGTGTTCCGTCGCGCTGCCCGGGGCACCTACTGGCACAAGGTGCAGGCCGAACTCTCTTATGTCACTCAGAGCGGCCTCTGGCAGCCACCCCGACTCACGACATCTCGTGAAGAATTCATCGGAGGGCCAGTAGATCACGTGCAGGCAGAGTATACGGTCCACGAGCGCTACTCCGCACTTCGAATGTGGGCTTGCCAAATGAGGCTCGTCGTGTATCTGTGGCTTGACGTAAGAGATGGCCGGTCCGTGGATGCTCAACTCTGCTCGCGGCTGCACAGCCAGCTCCAGCTCACTGCAGTACTGTCGGACGTCTTGGGCCGAGAACGGCAGGGGCTCTGTGTGCGTACACTCGGGCCGGGGCTGCTGCAGCACCCTGACGAAGCCCAGGTGGCTGGTGGGAGCGAGCATCAGCCGGGGTATGTCCGAGCCGTCGGCAGTCTCGGCATGACCTCCAGGTACCTTCTCAGTTCCAACGGCCTCGGTGTCGGGTGAAACCCACTGCACGGGGCCGAGAGTGTACATCAAGTCCTCGTCTGAATAGCTTCCATAAGCTAGATCCACATCGTCAATGGTGAGCTGTTCGGCCTGACTTCCAGAGATGGAGCCGCTCTGTATGAAAAGGCGTCCGAACGGCGAGCACCTCTCACAGTTAGCCCTCTCCAGTTGTAGGGCCTGCTGCCAGGGCCGTGTCCAGAGGCGTGCAAAGGTGTGAACTCTCTGCTCATTGCACTGTTGAATGAGAAAATTGAACGGCGCGTAGAACGGGTCTTTTGCGGTGATCCAACAGTCAATCGCTGGCAGCAGGAAGGTGTTGTACTGCCTGACTAGGCGGCTTATCTTGTCTTTGGATATGTGCTTCATCCCTGGAAGTGGGCCGAGATCACGTAACGGTGTTACATGGCCTTCAGCCATGTCGTTTGGGTTCTAGGAGCCCGCACTGGATCATCGGCACCCACAGTCCCTCCGCCGTGAGTGTCGGAGTGAAACGCCGCACTGCTCACTGGTCACCCTCTGCGCCGACTAGCCGACGGCCACCGCTGCCAGCCGCTAACCCGTCACTCAACCATGTGCAGAGGCGGATCCAGCTCAGAGTTTTAAGGGGGGCAAACCATAACAATTTATCGATTCTTTCCATGCATCGTCCATAGGCGTAATGTTAAAATCATGCCGTTTGGGGGGGGGGGCAAATGCCCATTTTGCCCCCCCCCCTGGATCCGCCACTGACCATGTGCACAGTGCACAGTGCAGACAGAACCACCGCCGCCTTTGTGCAATGCTCCGCCGCGGCACGCCAGCTGGCTCATGTAAACATCACGTACCCGGGGCCATGTTTATGGCCGGCAGCGGGCGATTATTTACTCAAACCACCAGGCCCTGGAGAAATAGTGTGGTACTGGGGCTGCAACGACAAGAAGGGATATTTTCGACACACAGGTGTTGGGTTGGTGCTGTGTCGAGTGGCTTAGTACCGGTTTCGTTCGATTCCTTTTCGACGGCCATGCATTTTTTAAAATGCATGTTAATGTTAATGCTACTTTAACTAAATTGGCATGTTAAA